GGTATATGCCGCAAGAAAAAAAAAAAGTGATGCAGGAAACCACCAGATCAAGTCCTAGCCTCAATATCTGGTATGATAAAAGGAAAAACTGAAAGATAATTTCAGACACTTCACATATAACACAACAAAGCAATAATTATTGATAAACAGAATGGAAACTGCAAGAACTGAGATTCACAGGTGAGATCTTATCACACTCTCAAGACTCAGATCAAGTAACCTGTTTGCTTAATGAAGAATCTAAGTAACCCAAAAAGCATCTCTCAAGAGCTTTTCATCTAACGCAAAGAGTTCACTTCATAAAAATAAAAAACATAAGTGGCGAAATGAAAAAAAAAATCAAGATGGTGTGGCTTGATTACCAGTGCAAAGCACAACAATCCACATAGAGACCAGCTCGCGTATTGGTAAACCTGTCTTCAACTCCTTGAGCTGATCAACCTTACATCCAGGGCAATTCTCATAGTAGCACTTCTTCAACAGCGTCTGTCTACACTCGTCCGCCATGCTTAAATGAAACTTTTATTGAGCTGAACCCGAATCCAGCTCAACAAGCTTAAAACTCTTTCCTTCTTGAAACTCCACCCCAAGTCCCTCAAACTTAATCAAAACCGACCGACCGACCAACCAGAATAAAACAAACAATCAAATTCAAAACAGAGAAACCACTAGGTTAAACAGTCTTGGTATCCAAACAAATTATCTTAATTAAGAATATATACCAGAGTGAAAAAAACGAAAAATTGACTCTAGAGGTAGAGTATTTAACCAGTAATCTAGTATCTGTACAAGAAAATGATTGATTTTACATGAGGTCCTCCACAATTCTGTGTCTAAAGATCCGTGTAAGACTAGGAGAATAGACTGGAACCCAGAAATTACAAAGAAACAGGAACTGTTTGTTTTAATGTTAAATAGAATCCCTACATTTCACAGATCCAATTTGGTAGCTAACAGTGAACATAGAGAGAAGCATCATTGCACACGTCACGAGACTGAAAGTGACAGGCAGTAGCCTTTTCAGTGCATGTGTAGGAAAAAAATAATATACTAATTAATGACTTAAAGGACAAAACGATTACTGATTCATGCTAGAAATGGACCCAATACAAACACCGGTGATGTCGATGAGGAGCACAAGTGGGAATTGATTTCTTTGCCTGAAAAGTCTCAACCATTATTGTATTTGTTCACGTTTCACATGGTTGGCTGATTACGTACATTGATTTGCAA